TAATTCAAATTCTCTTTCTTTAACTTCAGCCATTCGTTTACGAACAATAATAGGTTTATCAAGAGCCTTACAACCTGGACCATTTTTATGATGATATTCACGAGCAGCGTGAACTGTTTTTGGCGAAACCTAAGTGAGATTTTGTATTTAGTCATATTTTTTATTTAGTATGTATTATTATACAATTATAATTTATCATACCTGTAAATTTTTCATCAATTCTTCATAAGTGAAATTCTCCGCAACTATTGATAAAATTCGAATTTTTCCACTTGAACCATTAGGATTGGCATCAAGACTTTCACATAATGAATACCAAAAAACATTTGCAGTGTCTTTACAATTTTCAAATTCGTCATTTCTAATTGTTGAATTTAGCGTAGTATTCAAAAATCCATTTGAAAACAAATTGGATATTGTTTCAATATCACCTTTAGGATCCTTAGCACGACTCCAAAATTCCATCTATAGGATATTTTGTAATTAGATAATAAATAAATAATGTAATATTTCTTATAATAATACTTACATCAGATACGTCCCTTTCAAATGGAGTAATATTTTTACATCCAATTGCTTCAAGCATTACTCTCCATGCCCGAAGCTCACGCATGTTAATTTCATGATTATCATTATAAAAATCACGAATAAAGCTTTTTATTTCAATAATAGTACTTTTTTGATTATACCAACGATTTAAAATACGATACCAAAGTTCATCATCTCCGGGTACATGTTTTTTTAGATATAATTTGAACATGTATTGCATAATTCTTTTATTATTCCAATCATCAAGAGTGCAAGTCTTAGAAAATAGTCTTTCATATCGTTCTTTAAATTTAAACTGCACGAGTGGATGATTAATTCCAAAAAGATCGATCCCATCACAATTTCGTAATAATTGGGTTTGATTCCAAACTGAAGAAGCTGTTATGTCTTGAAATTGTTTTACCATTTCACCATTTTGAAAAATACTAATTGAAAATAATCCTCCCTCAATTTTCTGCCATATCACACTTTGTTTTTGTTTATATTTATACGTAAAACTAGCTGCAAACCCTTCGTAATTATTATTATCTGGAATAGATGCTATAAAAATTGTAATATTATATAAACAAATTGTAAAAGGACGAAAATCCACATCATTGAGCATTTGTTGAATCATATAAGAATCATGAAAACCTAACATTGTTGCTCCTGGATATTTTGTTTTATTTTTATTACCAAATACGCGTCCATAAATGGTGTTTATAGCAGCAGAAGAACTAAAACAAACTCCACTATTAATTCCTTCTCCTTCACAAATAAAACCTGGTGTATTTGGATTTTCTAAGTTGCGAACTATTCTAATAATGAAGTGTTTTTGATTGAGTTTTAAAGCAACTTGAAAGCCGAGTCTTATTGGAATAGCATAGGTATTAGAATCTTGAATTTGGGAGTCAGAATAATACCACCAATCTCGTGAAAAAGGGCCATAATGAAGTTCTGGCACCAGGTTACCAATAGCAACAAGTTTTCCAGGAGTAAAGTGTCCTTTTGACATTTTTGAAAATGGGGAACGCGAGATTCAGAACGTATTCGTTTTTAATTATAAATCATAGCCCGCAATAGTTACACAAAATTTCTACCCATCACATGAGGATCAGCAATTAAAAAATAAATAATGAACGTTAGTAACGTTTATTGAATATAATTATATAAAAAAAATTAAAAAATAATAAAATTTGAATATTTTTACCTTTGAAAATAAAGTCTGAAGCTGTATTTCAGCATATACTTTTCGTCAAAATGACAAAATACTAATTAAATTAATTTTGACAGACGTAATTAATTCATAGTAATTTTATAATAAATAGTGAATTGGTCTGTTTACCGAAATATGACGTAATTAATTAGCGGAGAAGTATACTTTAGCGTCCAGAACTTAATAAATGAACATTAATAATGTTCGTTAATAAAATTAATAAAAATAACATTTTTTCAAAGGTAACCTTTAAAATAGGCATTCTAAACTTGAAACAAAAAGAAAAATACAAATTTCAAAGGTTATTTTTAAAAATGGAGAGTTCAGAACATACTTTCAGCGTTCTGGACCTAAAAAAAGTAAAACTGAATGTTAGACAATATCCGGTATATAAAAAAATATCTGAAAAAAAGTCCAGAACTGATATTATCAGTGTTCTGAACCTAAAAAATGTAAAACTAAACGTTGGACAACATCCGATTATAAAAATATTTGAAATAAAGTCCAGAACTATTATTTTTAGTGTTCTGGACTTACAAAAAATAAAAAATTAAATGAACTTTAGCTAATGTTTGTTAAATTAATTTTTTTTCTGAATGGAGTCTAGAACTTGTACTGGACTTGCAAAATAAATAAATAAATAAATAAAATAAACTGAACGTTTAGCTAATGTTTGTTAAAAAAAATATTTTTTTTTTTTGTCCAGAACTTCAGTTGTACTTTTGGTGTTTTGGACTTAATAAAAAATAAAAAATTTTCAAAAGTTATCTTCGAAATATACAGAGAAAATATGAGAAAATAGATAGGAGAAAAGGTGTTCAGCATTTTACAAAAAACTCTCTTTTAATCTGATACCTCTGCATGTTGCAAATTAATAGCCAAATATTGTACAAACTTGCCAATTCTATCAAAAAAATCTGACAATTTCGTGCAAAACTTTGAAGCCTAACAAAATACTTTAAAGAATTTCTCTTAATATCATTATTAATAGATTATTTCTTCGGATATTGCAGGAAAAAAGTATTTCTTTACTAAAAGTGCTGTAAAAAAATACTTTTTAGCTGGGAGTAAATAAAAATATTTTTTGACAGATGTAATGTAAAAAATTATTTCTTAATAAAATTTGTTGAAGTTTACTATCATTATGCATAAAAGTTTATTAAAAGTCAAATTAAAAGGTTGAAAATTTCCAAAGAATTTTGCATGAGAGTTTTTTATAAATCTGCAATTTTGGAGATTATCGCAAATTTTTATATAAAAAGTTGTTAAAAAAATGCAAAAACCTAAATCTGCAGTATTGCACAGATTTTTACTAAAAATTGTAAAAAAAAATGCGGCAATCTGCAAAAATTGCAGATTGCTGCAGTTCTGCACCCTAAAAAATTTATCAATGATACTATAAGAATTATTAAAAAGAATTTTTTTATATAATTCCATATATTAGTTGAAATTAAAACTTTTGATCATTATTAATATATTAAACATCCTTGTTCTTTTTGCATTATATGCCAATTTTCTTTTCTTTTTTATTTTTTTAGACTGTAATTTTTGAAATTCCATTATATGCTACTCTAATACAGCTTGTAGTATTTTCTTACTAATAAAAAATTTTAGTAATAAGTCTTTTTCCTATCTTTTCAAATTCTTCATTTGTCCAATCATTAATATTCTCACCACCTATTCAATTTCTGCCAATTTTATTGCTCTCTTTTCTTTCTTCAATAGCCTTTATCTCTAATATATAATGATTTTTTTTCTAGATATTTGGCTAATCTGTAGTTGCCTTTTGGTTTTATGTAGTATTTTAAAAGAATGATTATTAGCTACTATTTGAATAAAAGTTTCTCACTTACACTACCCTTCCAAAAGTATCCGGTCAACCAATAAAGATCATATTTTATTAATAATAATTAATATTTAGTTGGCCATCCATTGTTTTTAATGCATGCTTCAATTCAGCGTAGCATGCTCTCAATTAAATTAATGTAAGTTTCAGATGGAATTCTTTCTCACTCTTCTTTTAGCTATTAATCCAGTCGTGTCCTAAAATTTCCAAAAAGTACCATTACAGACACAATTGTTCAATACAAGAATTTTAATCCTGATAGTTTCATGTCCTTTCCAAAGGCCAATAATTTATCCACACTCACTCAATTCACTAGTTTTTCCCATTTTAAAAGTAGCTGAATGGCGTAGTAACAAAAAAAGCAAAGTTCAGCGTTGGCAAAAATTGAGGCGTTATTATTTTTTTATTGCCAAATCTGGGGGTCGTCTAAAGCCGGGTTTGATCACGTGACTTGTAAAAATTTATTTTTTACAAATAAAACTTTTCGCCAATATATAAAACTTTCAAGTTACACATAGTATGTGTATTTTAGCCTGCTGTGCAAGTTTACTTAGTGCGCAACATGGGGTATTGAACACCGTTTTTGACTTATTTGAATTTTTTCATTTTCGTCATCCATTTTTGGATATGATCGGTAAAGTTTATTCATTCATATGTAAAGTCAAAAACAGTGTTAAAAATCAGCTCTTTTATCACTAATTAAACTTGTAAAGCAGGACAAAATACACTTATTCTATAACTTTCATACTTAAATTAATCTTAGTTCATAAAAAAATGGCTTATTTATAAAATGTCAAGTCACATGATCGAACCCAGCTTTAGACGACCCCCAAATCTGGTACAAATATCGTAACACAATAAAAATACATTCATTTTAATCGTTAGAACCAGGGGAATTATTTTTTTTTAAAAAAAATAATACTTTATATATTCAATCTTGAGAAAATCAAGTTGAGCTTGACCGGATACTTTTTGAAGGGTAGTGTATATGTAAAAATTAAATTAAAAAATTTTTCATGATCACTCATTTTTCTTGTAAATATAATTCAAGCTGGCATTAATTATCATACTTTATCTTAAATTATGAAAATTTTAGCCAATAAAATCGCATTCATATAATATAATTGTTTCAAATTTAAGCTAATAATATAAAATCATCTGAATTTAAATGCTTATAAATTTTTATGTAGACATTTTTTTTGGAAATTTGACTATGAAAAATAAAGTTACTGTTTATTTTTATAAAAATCTTATTTTTTTTTTGTTAAAAGTTTTTTAAATGTCACAATTTTATAGTCTATATAAACTTTTGGAATCATAATTAATCTTATTTATTTATAAAAACTATCTATAAGACTATAATCAGCTTTCAAATAAAAAAATTCTGATTGAATTTTATTAAAAATTTGTGAACTTATAAAGATAAATGTGAGAAACTAATGGAATGTGATTGATTTAGAATGAAAACAAACCCCGAATTTTAGCAATGCCGGTACTGATCGTAACAATAATCCCACTTCAAACTCATTTGTTGGCAGTTTTGACCGTAAAACTTCACAGAAAACGTATAATCCACCAGAAGGTATTGACATTTCGTACACTATTATCTCATTATCTATACGAAGTTGGAGAATGTTAATCTCGTAAAATATATATCGTTTTCAGAATTGGAAGTACTTTCAATAAACATGTAGGCCATACAATTTTAATGAAGTCAAATTAATGCCCACACTACCGTACTTTCTTATGATCCTATTAAAGATCACCTTCAACATTTTGGCGATCTTTAATTTATCGTTAAAAAAATGGGTATGGCTGTGTTGGTTTGGGGGACCACTAACTTCGCATATGGAAAACTCAAGGTCAGTCGGTTTTATAGACCAGATGATATCTATTTTTTGGCCAGCACTACGATCTTTCCCATCGTTCTTTTCCAAATTGCGATCCTCTGATGAGGCGAACAGACACTTTTCACCACTAGACAAACACACGTTATAAAGAAGAATTAAAATCGTATCACGTGCTATTCAATACTCACAAAAAAATATTCATTTCCCGGTGCATTTCACGGAATAGACTACGCATTAGGGGTGCGAGGAAAATTTCCCGATATCCTAACTCAGATAAATTATATTCTGCGAGATCATTGTCTCGTTCAAATGATTCAACACTAAAGAAAAGAACTTGAATGGTAAGATATAAGTAGAAAACCACATTTGTCAAAATGGTTCTTATAGGATGTTCAAATAGTCCCATATAAATTTCGTATTATTGTTGATTCGTGTTTTCATGTAGCTTTCATCGTCTATATTGCAAGTCATATTAGTTAAGAGTATGAAGCAAAGCAACAGGATATTTTGGCATTATAGAATTTGTATCTAGCAATACCTTAATAAAGTTAACCATATATTTTTTCATACCATCCGTATCGTCCATTTTTAACTGTTGGCAATGTTTTGATTGCCTTATTTCGCGTATTACATCAATGGGTAATGATCGTACGAAATCACTATTTGATCCTGGTGTGATGTCTACTATGTTGTAGAATCCCAAACTAAAATTCCGGCATTTGAATCAGATGTTTAAACTTATGCATCTCAAACACAAGTATTTACAAAAATACTTACTCAGTACGCGGTCGAGCTTTCTTTTGTTTCCATTTAGTTAACGCATTACACAAATCAGTACCATTTCTCTTCATCGTCCTGGCAGTTCTTCATCATTTTTGACCATCCTATTTAAACAATAACATGTGAGAATTAATGTTTTGTAGTTGCTAATAAATAATCACGAATACCTTTCTTCATCATTTATCATTTTTGAAGACTCAGAGGAGTCAGTTCGCGGTATTATCTGATGTGCCAACTCGCTATAAACGTTACTAGTTGGGGTTTCCTGTCCAGCAGAAAACGAATGTAGTTATTTCATGGAGACTAGTCAATAAAATAACTAACTTACCTCCTTCCGAGCTTTTTTTGAAGCAGATGAAGAAACTCCATCCTCATCTTCCTCTTCATAACCTCGTAACTCTTCCGGAGATTGTTTTCGTCGATTTGATGTGGAAGATGATACCGATGAAGTAGATGGCAACGAAGAAACTACAGTTGCATCAGACAGTTTTTTACCGTCAAGTTTTTCATCCAACTTTTCATGAAATATGACATGCACTTGACGTTTCCTTTTCTTTACTTTTCTCTATTATTCGATGTTGGTTTTGTAAGTGTAAAGCATAGCTAGTTTACTCGAGCAGAAAAAACTGAGCTTATTCACTTGCATTCTGCGGATGTTTTCATATAATATGAAAATCACAACCCCTGCGCAAGCGTCTGCTAGGTATTAAGTTGAAGGTCGGGAAAAGACTGAGCTCATTCATCTGGATATGCAGGGACGCTATTACCTTACATTGGGAGTCCTTTGCGAATGACTGCGAATGACTGCGCTCGACCAGATGGATACGCTTCAACACTTGCTATGCTTTTTCCTATGCTTTTTCCTTTACTATACTTTCAACTTCACAGGAAGTATTTTTCATTTACTACCTCTTTCAACAAAGTAACGTTTGTCTCACTTTTTTCCAATCAAAATTATTTAGTGCTATTGTGAAACTTTAGAGAAATGTATGATGCTATCAAAGAGGGAGGGAGCACGCGGACCTAGGCCATTTAATGCGAGTCCCAACATCAAGTTATTCCTTTGCTTTCTCTGAGTTTCTCATGTTTATGAAAAATATCTATAGCTAATTTGTTTCTATCACTAACTACAAGATTCTTATCCCTATACTCTTTAACTTACTACACTAGATTTTCGAAATAAGTTATCCCACCCACATCTACTAAATTTTTGTCTATATATATCACTAACATCCGCACAGACTATGTAAAAGATTAATCACAATAAAAGAACTTCCCAGAAATTAAGTAATTCATTTCGGGCAGAATTAAAAATGTCATGAAACTCCGCCCATTAATATTTGCTAATGCTGGTATAGTATAATAATTAATAATGATCGTATTAGTAGTTCTTATCAAGTTATCGTGTCCGAGCCTCCGAGCGATGGAAAATGCGCCAATGGTTGGTTTTATTTAATAGATAGATAAAACTAATTAAATTCATTTTTTTATAACAGGAGAAACTTTTTTTTATTTCAAAATGTGATTTTAATAATAATATAGATTTTTGAGAATTCAGAGGAATACATTTCGAAACTGAGATAACAGGAGTTGATGCCTATAGAAATGTTAATCAAAGTCAACTCTCTAAATGAACCTCCTTAGAACAATGTATAATGAGGATGTGCATTTATGGAGGGTAAACAACGAACGTGTAGACTGAGCAGAGGGTGCATTTATAGAGAGTTGACTAATCGACTTCTGTATGTTTTTTCATACTTACGAAATGCTTTACTCTTAATACTGTAATAGGACTACACCAAATTACCTACTATTACATTGATCAATTCCAGAAGGGGAATAAATATTGTGAATCAAAATGTTTCGATCATTGTCTTTTAGATACTGTAATTGTTAGTAAAATAAAACTAGATCCTTCGTATCCTCCTCACACAATAAATATAATTATCATTTTTTTGAATAGGATATACAAATATTACATAAATATTACGTAACAAATATTATAGTATAATTTTCGTTTTTTTTTGTTCATCAACTAATAAAAAATTATAATTTAGATAAACGCTATATAATATATTACAAAAGAGAATTATTTATAAACATATTTACCTTCCAAAAAACTTTCTTAAATACTCTTAAACATTTTGACTTTCTAAAATTTCAAAATATAATGAATGTCATCGGATATTTAGAGTATGGGAAAAAAAAAGATTAAAAAAAAAAAAGACTTTATTTATTTATTAAAAACATTTCTTTCACTTTACAAAAATTATTATTATACATACGAATTTAATTATTTTTATTAGCAGTACTAGTTATTACTTTGGTATTAAAAAATTTTTCAACTTACAATTTTCACATTTACAATTTCTCGTCTACATATACTAACTGAATAAAAATTCTTGAATTTTGTTAGAAAGGCTTGTTTGTAAAGTAACTCAACAAACTTTATTTATTTGCGTACATAAGTTTTTAACGTTAAAACGCACCAAAAGAAATAGCAGTTTAGCAGATATTCTTGGCAAGTAAGGAAAGAGAGCATTTATTGCAAAAAAAAAAAAAAATGTATGTTTTATTTAATTGGTCGTGATCATATGATATCGAAGAATACTATGGTAAATGAGATTCGAAACATGGAAAATTTTTGGGAAAAGTAATGCATTATATGTAAGAAAAAGATTTTATTAAGTCAATTTTTCTCAGATTTATAAGATCGAAATATAATAATATTTGATAAAAAAATATCAAAAATCGAGACATTCGCGAAAATACGTTAGAAGAGAAATTTAACCTCGTTAAAAAATCAGGTGTTAGAATGCTTAGGATATTTTACAAAACCGATGAAGAAACATTTAAGTATAGATTTTCAATACATGGTTTTTTCCGAAGAAATACCAATCAAATTGGATGATCAGAATTTATACATTAACGGCTTTGAAAAATAAAATTAAAAGAGATGCTTAAAAAATCGTTTTCCTATAGTAAGAGAGTGGGTGAAAAAAGAAAAAGAAAAAAAAATTCGCTCCACTTCTCTTATATTCAGTCATTATTCATCATTAAAAAAGGGTGGGTAAGGCTTTTTTTTTATTCAGTCGACATCTAATTATTTGTTAGTATTAAAAGGTTGGGTTTAAGAATCAACCTTTTAATGTCCGACAAATAAAAAAATTGTTTAATTTATATTATTTTAATCAGGTTTTTTTTTATCCCTTGATTAAAAGGCAATTTTTTCAAACGTTGTGTATTAATAACCGATGGTCATTCTTATCTTTTAAATTAATCGCAAATTTAAGTATCATCGTGAATTTTTGGTAATTAATACCTATAAAATCGCAGTGGTATAATTTGCCATTACGTTAGATGTTTAGAAAAAAAAATTTTTTTAATCATCGAACGAGGAAGGTAAAGAATTGGGCAAATTGAATCCGGTTGAGACCGATCTTTTTTGAGGTTCGCTCATGAGCGGTACCATTAAGTGAAGTCATAAACGGATGTGATCAATTTTTCTTTGATCATGATCTAACTTAAGCGCGAGTGGGGAGTTAAGTCATTGACGAACCATGAGCTCTTTTTAGCCTAATCGGACGCATGAAAAAGTGATCGGTTAGGCTGAACCAAAATAGATACCTGGTTGATCCTGCCAGTAGTCATATGCTTGTCTCA